ATCTATGATTCTAAGCATTCAATGGATGGCCAAGGTTTTTATATAGAGAATCATGTGTCAACTAGTTTCAGGATAAGTCTAAATCTGGTTTTGCAATTCTCTCACTAATGAGTTAAACATTCTGATAAATAATACATTGTGCAAAATAAACTGGCAGAGTTCAACACAAACGAAAAACAGCAGATCAGGGGTCCACAGGATTCTATGATACTATACATACCATGATTATAAAGGAGCAAACGGTTGTCAATCAAGTGAGCTTCTCACACATTGGATGCTGACGTAGCACTTGATAAGGTCTGATGTTTGTCATGGAGGCTGCATTTACTGTTATCTAATCTACTGATGGATAAACTTGAGAAGAACAATGGTGAACAAAATATAATACATAACAAGAGATTTACAATGGAACAGGGCCACCATGCACAGTCCTGAATTACAAGGCAATAGAAACTCATAAGTATAGTACAATGTTGTCGTTATAACTAGTGTAAATTTTACAAATTAAAAGCAATAAAAAAAGTCTTTGATTGGCAGCACCAGAAAAAATGATTATATCGACAAAAAAAGAACTTATATACTTATAACAACAACACAATGGAAACTCTTCATTCCCATGACAAATACAAACCAGGAAACTTTCTGTGTCATTTTTCAATAGATAGTGTTTAAACCACTTGACATGTACAAATTGAAAATCTATGGAATGAATAACTTCATCCACCCATTTTACAACTGTCACCTGATGAATAACTATTAATGCCTTGTAAAACAGGACAACTGCGGTACAGTACAATGAAGAGATAAAACAGGTAAGTAGTCAAATAATTTTATAAGGGATGAAATAATCAATGATGTGATTATCAACTGATAAAATATATAATGCCTTGTAAACAACAAGCTGTTGCCATCGTTATCAGATCTAACCATTATAACATTATGTACATCAAAATACTAAGCTGCTCCTTAATTGACAGGGTTAAAAATTTGGGAGCAATGGGTTGTGAATGAAGGTAAAAAACAGTGAAATAAACCAACTACAAATAATATCTCAGGACTGAGCCATTCATGTCAATGTTGTGCTGTAAGCTTAATGTGAGGAATTTTTAGGAACACAAACAAAAATATGGTAACTTTTTCGAAGCACAAGATGGGGTCTATTATAAATTATTTAACACTTATTTACTGGAACCGAGGGAAACAGTAAAATTTTGTGACTTTCACGTGGTACACTCTCAACCAATAAGATACTAGGAAAAGTGAACTTTGACACTTAATATAGAATAATATAACTTGTATGCATGTGCTTTACTAGGCTAGCATTTTTTTACAATCAAGCAAGAACTGTGGAGCATGATGGCCAAATGATCAACTGACCAATTATCGGGGAGGGGCTCCCTTATAAAAGTTGGTAGGTATGCTCGGGGGAGGGATTGGAAAATGACACTAAAAGGTATGCATAAATTAATTCAGGTATCGATTCATGGGGTTAAATAAAAGGTTTAAGCAAGTTGAACTAAGACATTAGTGCGTATCACGTAACTTTGTTAATAGATCAATAAGCGTACTATCAACACCCTGCCATGCCCTGGCAGGGCTTGTCTTATCTATTTCGACCAGGTTGAGTGAGCTATCTCAACTAACTAGCTAACGCCCTACAATTGGTCAGTTGAGATGACTATTATGTTCAGTTTGTAAGGACTGGTTAATTGCAACGAAGGTCGTTATTCGCCCCACGCAAACGCTAACTGTACGCTGAATGCAAACTTGTTCCCTCCCGTCCACTCCTTCTTTGGTTCAGGTAAATATTCCACTGACAAGCGTCAGTGTGACAAGTGCTTGTTTGGTGATGACAGGGTTGCCATGGATACCGATACCATTCCAACCAACGCAAATTTATCAACCAAGCACCTAACGCCAAGCTCATCTAATGTTGATGAGTTTAACAGACGCTAAAAGGTATGACCGTTTTTGACATCTTTAACAAGAGAAAAGCTCAAGGTCAACAAACTGTAGAAAATCAATGTCGATAAATTGTTGAGGCTAATAAAATCTATTTCTTTATAACACCTATTCAATTTGTTTTCACATTGTTCGAAAATTGCTCGCCAGAGGGATTGAATCAAGCCCCCAATGGTGACACAACTCAAAGATTGTTAAACAAGTATACCGTGGACATAAATCTGTATGAAACCTCAGACTTTCAGATTTCAACAACAAATCTATAAAATGAAAATATTGAACTTGAATTTTGAATTTAATAATTTATATGCATCTGTAACACCTTAACATATCGACAAAGAATTATCAACACCATCACAATTTGTTAGTTTGAAATGATGATGCTTTCACTTTGAATTCTGACCGTTAAAATTTATATTTTGAGTCCTTACTTGTTGTAGTGTTGTCTGTGCATCGTTTTTTTTTTACGAAGGATAATGTTTATATGAATCGATGGGCATTTTAATAATACTAATCGACATGGATCGGAATAATC